CAATCAATCAATCAATCAATCGATCAATCGATCAAAAAAAAAAAATTCAATCGATCAATCAATCAATCAATCAATCAGTCAATCAATCAATCAATCAATCAATCAATCAATCAATCAATCAATCAATCAATCAATCATTTAATCAATCTATCGATCAATCAATCAATCAATCAATCAATCAATCAATCAATCAATCAAGCAAGCAATCAATCAATCAACGAATATTTTTTTTTCTATTTTTTTAATTAATTTTCTCACTCATCAAAAATCGCCCCCCCCCCCAAAAAAATAAATTATTTTTGAATACGCTCTAGAGGAGGACGTGCGCAGGCCGAGGCCGCGCGCCAATTTCCCACGCGTGCTGTCGGACAGCGGCGCGCCGCGCCACGTCAACGTATAGTTGACTCGTCGCGGCCAGTCTCCGCACCATAGGACTGCTTGTAGTCACGATCAGCAGAAAGTTGACACGCTGGTTTGGCCCTTGGGTCGAGTCAGCGAACAAGACGGCGCAACAGTCCAGCCTCATGGAGATCGAATCACGGCTTTTGGGCTGAACCGCCGCGTCTGCAAGGGTCAGATTAGTAGGGCCCGGTCCGAACGGTACTGAAAACGGACCAGGGGTTAGTGAGAAAAATAGAATTGACCACTTGGGACCGGACTTACCGCGTCGGGGAGAGTACGACCCGAAATGGTCAAGGGGGAATACGGGATTGGGCCCCTTATTAACGATAAGAGGGGTGTTTCGTTTTCAAGAGCAGGGCCGACCCTTAGTATTCCAAAGTCGGGCCAGTCTTAGCCCGACACTAATTTTAGTACCAGTCTGTGTTATTTTTAGTGTAGGGCACGCTATTTTTAGTGCAGGCTAAATATAGCACAGGCCCGTGCTATTTTTATCCCAAGCCCCCCGTGCTAATTTTAGCGCTGTCCCGCGCTAATTTTAGCACAGGCCCGCACTATATTTAGCGCAAGCCCATGCTATTTTTAATACGGGACTGACTGTTCGTGTCCCAAAGTCGGGACTGTCCCAGCCCCGTGCTAATTTTAGCGCAGTCCCGCGCTAATTTTAGCACAGGCCCGCGCTATATTTAGCGCAGGCCCGTGCTATTTTTAACACGGGACTGACTGTTCGTNCAGTCCCGCGCTAATTTTAGCACAGGCCCGCGCTATATTTAGCGCAGGCCCGTGCTATTTTTAACACGGGACTGACTGTTCGTGTCCCAAAGTCGAGACTGTCCCAGTCCCGCGCTAATGTTAGCACAGGCCTGTGCTATTTTTAAACCAAGGACTGCTGCACCTTGCCCGATCACCCGACCTCTTCACTATAAAAGAGAGGCCGAGCCACTTGAAAAGAGAGAGAGGCCCTCATTTGCGGAAATGTGGAAGCACTGGCGGAACGACAAGCGGGAGTTGCAGCACAAGTAAGGGAAGGAGAAAGACAAGGCAAGCAAGGGAGAGGTAAAGGAGTGGAGCAGTTTGGGGAAGAGGTAGCCCTGGTTCTCACTGGGGTCATGGCCCTCTCCCTTGCCTCCCCTCCTATCTCTCTCTCTCTTTGCTCTTTTCTCTCTCTCTCTTCTTCCTCCCTCTCCCTACTCACTTCCGTCATCCCCCTTTAGTCAGACCGGTCGCTTATGAATAAGCCCCGATTTTATTTTATTTTATTTTTATTTTATTTCCGGCGTGCACCATTACTGCACAAGGGTTACTGTATGCCCGTGCGCCGTGCCAGAGAGCACAAGGGTTACTGTATGCCTGTGCGCCGCGCCAGAGAGCACAAGGGTTACTGTATGCCTGTGCGCCGCACCAGAGAGTACAAGGGT